CAGTCATTGAAGTAAGTAGGATAGTACCACTGTGGGAGCAAGTTGCAGGTTTCCCTTTGTCTTCGCAGCCCTTGAACTGGATTTTGTGTGAATTCCTTGGCAGGGCCCCGTGCGATATGCAGTAGCTGTCACTTGTCAGGACTGTGTTACTGGTGTTCTGGCAGTGTTAGGTTGCTGACCTGGGCCTCGAAGAAAAGGTTTCTCCTTCCTTTTCTGCTGTTACCCTTCAACTTGTGGAGTATTTTGATTACATTGTTGGGCTTCAGGCTGTGTTTCTGAGGCAACGCTTGTTCTGGGAGATGGCTTCTCTTGTCTGTCAGACACGAGCATCGGAGAGGTCAGAGTGGGTATGAATCTCTTTTTTTTGTTTGTTTTTTGTTTCGAGAAGCTGCAAGTGTATGCAAGCATCCTAGGGTGCTTGTGGGCTGTCAGCTTGGCTAGAAGCCCGAAAGCTGAAGTCTTTCACATCTGAAAGATGTACCCTTTATACATGGATTGCGTTCCTACCCCCCTTCTCCTTCCTCCTCCATTTTCTTTCGCTGCTTAATTTAGGAAAAGCTTGGTGGAGCAAAGACCATTTGTTCTAAAATTGAAGAAACCACATCGCTGAAGCAGTTCAAGAAGAGAGGAGCCGGTGAAGAGGACGACTAAAGAAACACCCTGGCCTTCACAGATAAACTTGTTTGGTGCTCTAAAAATAGTGGCTTACAAGAGCTTTGGGGAAAGGGGGGAGGTTTGGGTGGGCGCAACACGTGACTGTTGAGAGCTAACCTACAGAGAAAGGAGAAATCTATTTAAAAATGGATGACCTTAGATAAAGAATAATATATAAAATAAAGGCATGCCAGAGATAACTAAGAAGGTAATCCCATTGGGTTTATCCAGCGAGCATTAAGAGTTGTGTGAGGTAACTGGCAGTGCTTTGTTTTCTCTTTCTCACAGCTTGCTGCTGCTGGGGATGTGAAATACCACATTAAGGTGTCACTCTTCTTGCAGCAGAGGCTATTCTGAGGGAACAGGCAAGATAACTGTTAAGACTGAGAACTGTTCGTTCTGTGGTGAAACAGCACAAGGTCTTAACACACTTCACTGGCATATTTGCTTTTGTTGTAACGTAAGTTAATATATGAGGAAAATGCTGTTTCGTAATTAAATAGGAGAACAAGCTAAAGGGAAAAAGTAGTGGGAACAGTAAAGGATTTCAGGCTATTTTCTGAATCCGCAAGATGTGAATTAATGCAGAGTTTTTTAGTTTTGTTTCTGTTTTTCCTAGGACATTCAGAAAGGGAGGGTGGATACTGTTGCAATGAAGGTGCATCCTTTCATATTAGACATTGAGTTATGTAATAAAAATATTTCAACACAATACAGAATAAACTAATACAAGCTTAACTATATTTAAAGTCACTGTGGAAGATGGAAGAAAAGAAACCATGCTTAGTGCATGTTGTCTTTGTTCTGTAATTGCTTTCTAAAATGTGCCCAGCAATGTGTGGCCCTAACAAACAAATTTGCCTAGTGACTATTTGACCAGAAAGATCTGTACTGAAAGCATCAAATGTAGAGTTGTCTTCTCAGAAGGAAAGAACTTCCCCACTGTCCTTCGTAACTGACAGGATGCTGCTGTTCCTCCATTTTCTGTTTTCTGTAGATAAGTGTTCATCCTCATGGCATAGCTGATCAGGTTTCCTGAATCTAATGGCTTTTTTGATGGAAAAATTATGAAGGTACATGGCATTTCATCTTGCTCTGATGTTGTGCAGGAGTGAGGACTTTAAATAATACCAGTGGGAAGGCGTTTGGGGTGCTTACTTGCATTCTAAAACTAGTTTTCAGTGTTCACTGGCTTATGAACAGTTTGATGCTTCTCATTCTTCATTGTCCCTGCTGGTCTGAAGCTCTTCTGAGATTTTGTGGCTTTGGTCTCCAGTAGAGGATTGCAGATAACATTAATGTCCTTATTCTCAAATCCGAAGTGTCTGTGTGCCCAGTGGCAGTGCTTTGAGCAGAATCTGAACAAAATACGGCTGTGTACACCTCTTTTGAGAAATTACTCTTTTCTCCTTCCAAACTGGTGAGACATGTGATGCAGGGAAGCAGCGCAATCAGAGGCATCAAGTAGTTAAGGTACTGTCAAAAATCAATCTAATTTTAAGACTTTTTTTTTTCCCCTTTTGAACAGAATTAACTGCAGCCTGCACTCTGCTCACTTCAAAAGGTCTCAGACTACTGCCTTGCTCTTCAGTTTTCTTCTGCCTCAGTGTTGTAACCTGACAAAACCCTGCTGCCCTGCCGATACCTTGCTGTGTTCTGGCAGGTCAGAGCATTAGTGACTGACTCTGTGCGAGCATCTGTGTGATACAGAAGCCGTGCAGCAGGGAATTTGCTAAAGACATACAGCCAAAAAAGCTGATAAGTAAGCATAAATCTGAAGCATAGTATTTCTTTTGTCTTGCACTTATAATGACCAGGTCAGAGGCTACGAGGAAGAAGGAACAAGACTAGCTGTTAGACATTGTGCCAAAACTGGGTATGGATCTGAAAAGTCATACAGTGACAGGATCTTAAAGTAAGAAAGCCAAACAAAAACTGAAAGTTCATTAAGAGCTAGATCAAAACAGTGCAAGTTACGACATGAATTCCTCAGTTCGGGTTTTAAACGGCTTCTTAGATCAAGAGTTTGAGAAACTGCTTGGAATAACTTGTTATTTTTATAGTTTAGTTTTGTAGTTTTATAGCATGTTGCAAACAGGGGAGGGGGAGTAATCTTCTTTTCATTTACAGAACTAAAGCTATACTTGTAAATAGTTGGAATCCCTTAATTCCACTGTTTAAAGTCAAGGTCTTGCTTGACTTTAGCCAGACTTTGACTCTGCCTTGCAGAGCCTTCCTACCATTGTTCAATACCAATATCTGAAAGGGAAGAATAACTCTTTCCTTCAACCAAGTGTATACTTGGTTATTCTCATCCTGCCAGAGCTGACAGCTATTTGGCTGGCCAAGTCTGACTTTGAAACTTAACTATTCCTAGTGCTTCCAGATCAATAATGCTGTAATTTAGAAGAGGCCATCTGTAAATATTTTGCTAACCATACATTATTAGAAGGTTTGAAGTGTTATTCCTATGGTCTTATAAGCAATCCTAGTGTGCTGTCTTACCAACGAATAATATGCAATCTAGGCTTTTTGCTGGGAGAGAGAGTGGCAAACTTCATGCTCTTCTGTAGAAGATTAAGTATGCAAAGCTAATTTTTCAGAAAATAAATGGGTCATTCCTCTGTGAAATCCAGTGTAAACAGGCTTTATAAATCAACAGCTGAGAAGGCTGCAGAATGCCACCTATAAAGCAGTGTTTATCTGGTTCTGTTTGATGTGTAGTGCCTATGTACCTAGTACATGCACTGGTAATTCAGCCATTAAGTTGATCCTCTAATTGCTTAGAACCGAGATGCGAAAAATGGAAAAGAGACTGTGCATCTGTCATAGATGCTTACTAGAAGCTTCGTAGGAATCAAACAGCTTAATTCCTGCTTCTTGGTTGACAATGTAATTTTAGTGTTTTGTAATGTGTAAACAGCATTGATGTGAAGGTAATGGCTCCTAAACAACACCTATACTGCTAATAGGTTTGAATGGGCATTTTTTTTTTTCCTAAAACTTTGACAGCAGTGCCTTGTAAGCTTAGACCATGACAAATTTCCTTGGAGCCTGTCTGCTGTAGGATTTTAGGAGTTGTTTCTTCATAGGTTAGTGCAATGTAGGAGACTGACTGCTGAAGAAACTGAGCCTAGCAATAGATAGGATGGTTTTAGAAAACTGGGAGAAGTTGGGTGTCCAGTCCAGACAGCACAATAAAAAAAACCCAAACAACTTGGAAAGTCAGCTAAAAGGTGCAGTTGATTAATTTGTCCTATTACTTACTAATAGTGCAGATCTCCTACATTTCTTTAGAAAGACTGTCCAGAAATGGTATTCTGTATTTTACTTCAAAACTCTATAGGTTGCAAAGCAATTCCACGTGGGGTGGGAGGTAATGTCCAGACAAGGACTTGTACTTTTTTTTCCACCCCCACAAATATTTCTGTGCACGCTTGAAGAACCTGACCAAGAGGAAAGAAAGTCTAAATATATTTAATGGGTTTGAGAACTATATGATAGGACATGTGTCACATTGTTTTCTGTCCCTCTTTTGCTTTGACTTTCTTGAAACTTTCTGTTTATGATCAGTGTTTTGGTCCGCACCTGGCTTTTAAGTCCTCCGTGTAATGTGTGCGTTGTTGTGGCTTCTAATCCAATTAGTTTCCTAGTTCTCTCAGTTGCTGTATGAGAAAAGGATGGTTCACCTGGGAGAAGGAATGCAGACAGCAATTACAAGCTAGATGTGACTGCTGGTTCAGAGTTGAAGTGACTGCAAGGACAGTAGGACAGGAGAACAGGGGGGTTGTAGCTTTGGGAATTAGCTGTCTGAAGCGTAGTTTTCTGCAATGAGCAGGTTTTTTGTTTCAAGTCATCTGGTAGTTCTTGTGTGCTAAGCAAAGTGGGGGTTTGGTTTTTTGTTCTTTAACTTTTTTTATTTTTTTTTTTTTACAAAAGGTGGATGATGGGGGAATGGACTGCTGAGGGGCTGAGACTCAGGCACTTCAGTAGAAAAGCTCAGCTGTTACGGTTTTTCTGAGTTCTTTGGCTGTGTAATCTGTATTTGGGACTCATTCTTGTGTTTCAGGTCAGATTTTTACAAAGTGGATGATGGGGGAATGGACTGCTGAGGTGCTGAGACTCAGGCACTTCAGTAGAAAAGCTCAGCTGTTACGGTTTTTCTGAGTTCTTTGGCTGTGTAATCTGTATTTGGGACTCATTCTTGTGTTTCAGGTCAGAAATTGATGGATTGAAATGTGCTTAAAAATGTTAGTAAACCTAAGTGGTGTACTGGAGAGGTTGTGGTTACACCGTACAGCATTAACCTGCTTGCTCTGGAGTGGAAATCATTCAAGTGTGCAACTATGAAAGAACAATTCTTTTTTTTGGCAGCTGTGGCAAGCCCTGTTATGTGGCAGAAGGACTGCGTGCAGGGTCCGGAGGTATGGTGTCAGAGTGTTCGGACAGCATCGCAGTGCGGAGCGGTGAAACACTGCCAGCAGAATGTCTGGAACAAGCCTACTGTAGTAAGTATCAACTACTGAGACTTCCTCCCACCTGTAGTTGAGGTAGCTGGTTTCCATATGCTGATGAAGACTTTTCAAGTCTCTGATCGGAGTTAAGTGCTACATCTGACTATGCCTTGGTTACTATGCCTTAATTTGGGTGCTAGATAAAGGTTGCTTTCTACTTCTCTGCCTTGCACAACTTGTCTGCTGACTTCTCCTGTGACCTGTTGCACAATCACTGAGCAATGTGTGGAATGGAACTAGTCGATTTCAGACTCGTTCCTCTTTATTAAACTAACTCCTAATTCTTAGATCCTTTTCTTATTCTTAATTTGAGCAATGCCAAACTGATAGGCTTATTACAAAAGAAGCATACAGCTTTTTTAGGTCTTTCTTGTAAGTTAATGTTCCACAAAAGATGCAGCATATGCTAAATTATGAAAGCCATGACAGTAAATAATGGTACAAATGTTACAGTTAGTGTGGCTTTTCAGGTTGCATTTGTACTAAATGTGAGTGCTGCTTTACTAGATGTAGCTGTAGTTTGTGGTATTGTTTCACAATTTTCTAGGGGAAAAAGGCATTTTACTTACAGATGCATTCAGTCCACCTTGGCTATATCTGTGCTGAGATATGTTTCAGTTTGTGGAAAAGTAGGGGAAGGGCGGAATGTCAGAATAGCAAAGCACAACTAAAATGAGTGAAGCTGCCTGAAGAGTTCTTAGGTTTCTAGTAAGCGTGAACTCTTTGAAGAGTAAGGTAAGAGAGGTTCAGGAGAAGGCTTCTCAGGGCAATATACTTTATGCTTCAAGGGAGGTGGGGCTAGGTGAAATGAGCAAGTGGTAGCATGCCTGCTTCTTCATACCATTTTGATTTACTGGAGAAACTGGAGCTGGACATGCTTGGAATAGCCTCACTCTTTATTTAAAAACGCCTCTTCCCACCCAGCTTCAGCCAGTATTTATTCTTTAACTTCAATTCCAAATGTGATGCTTGTTCTTTGCATTGTTAGTCGCATGCTGCATTTACAGGTACTTAATTCTGTCTCAAAGTAACTCTGCTTCTCTCTGCAGAACAGTATCCCTTGTGACTTGTGTAAGGAACTTGTGACAGTGGCTGGCAAGGTTTTGAAGGATAATGGCACTGAGGTAAGCAGAGCTCCCCTTCTCCTTGCCCCAAGGCACTATTTGATTTCATTGTTTTAACAAGATCGCAAGGTGAGGGGGTAGAAGAGTAGTCTGCATGATGTTTTCCCAACCTAAGCAGCAGATGTTGAAAGGGGCCAGAGTACATGGGGAAAAGGCTTTTAAACAGCCTCTTCTGGTTTAGAGGTTAGCCAATTCTAGAGCCTCTCATGCTCTAACACATCCCTGATTGACTGTAGATGCTTAATAAAATTGTTCTTGTGCCAGTGGGCCATTGATCTTAAAAGGTGGGATACTGCAGTCTCTAGAAGTGGATGATTACACCAAGTGGACTTTATTTTGGTTGTGGGCACTTCTTCCCTTTTTCTTTTGTGAACCTGGGTGTACTTTGTATAAACAAATCACTGCTCCCGCTAGTCCATAGTTTCACTTCCTCTTCTTAAATGTAAATGTTCTATGCTGCAAGACTGTGTTGTGCAGGCCTTGCAAGCAGTATTTCATGTTTTCATTTTGGCAGGGTCTCATCGAAGGTCCAGGACTTGGGAAAATAGACCTGTAGTGTAAAACCTTATTCTGGTTTTGTTTGTCAACTGCCTGGACCTACCTGAGTCCAAGGGGTGCTTTTTAGGCTTTGTGTTGTGCATTTTGGGAATGGAAAGAGCATTTGAGATAGATATAGAAATATTTATATTTTGATAGTCTATAGCCCACCTCATCTTTTATAGGATGAGATCCGCTCTTACTTGGAAAAGACATGCGAGTTTCTTCCTGACCAAGGCCTGGTCTCTGAGTGCAAAGAAATTGTGGATTCCTACCTACCAGTTATCATGGATATGATCAAAGAAGAGCTAGTGAGTAGATAACAACTTGCAACTGTTGGAATTAAAAGTCGTGCTCCTGTTGATGTTTGAATTTCTCTCCTACATAAGATTGTGCATATGATCCTTCAATCCTGTATGGATCACTGACATTGCAATTAACGGTGTAAATTTGAAGACTGCTTCCTTGCTGTGAAACATTTTCCCTTCCTATAATGTTTCAGCTGAATGATTCTCTAATCTGAACTTGATGTAAAAATGCCATCAGTCTAGAGCTTTATGTAGGTATCTTATCTCCCCTAGGATAAACCTGAAGTTGTATGTAGTGCCCTCTCACTGTGCCAGTCCCTTCAGAAGCACCTTGCAGCAATGAAACTTCAGAAACAACTCCAGTCCAATAAGATACCAGAGCTGGATTTCTCTGAACTGGCATCCCCATTCATGGCTAACGTGCCTCTTCTCCTTTACCCTCAGGACAAACCCAAGCAGAAGTCTAAGGTAAGGATGCAGTGCTATTCCAGTGTGCAGGAGAAGTGCATGTTTTTTGCTCCAGAGCTTCAGCGCTCCTTTGTGTAAGAACTTCCTGATGAATCTTGGTAAGGGATTGTTGTACTGGGCACAGATTAAGCTGATGTGCTTCACCTGGGTGACTCTCTCCTACTAAATTTTGTGCTGCTGCATACAGACAGCTACCTTTTTCCTTAACCTGTGGGTTTAAAGCTAAGTAAGATGATAGCTGCAGCCCCTGTGGACCATATGTATAATCTTGGATTAACAACCACAGTCTATGAAGACAAGTCTTGTGCTGGGCTGTTCCCATCCAGGACTGTAGTAGTCAAGCAGGTCTTACTGGAAACAATTTCTTTTGAGAGCAAGTTTGGCACCAGCGTTCAAAGGAAGAAGAATTCTCTCACATGGAGTGATCTGCTAGCTGTGCCCTTCAGGGGAAGCAGTCGTCTCTGAATCCAGAGGTGACAGACTGGATCAGAAAAGAACAAATAGTTGACAAAGGGGAGTAGATGAGACAATGAACTTGTGAGTAGAGGCTGAGTCTTGATAGCAAGCCTAGATATGGGAGTTAAACAGTGGAGTGGGTAGAGAACAAGCAGCTGAGGGTGGAGCAGGTAAGATCTATGCCGGATTTAGAAACCTTCCCACTGTGGTCTGTAACAGAACCAAGACATTTTTGAAGATTGGGTATCTTAACAGTTATCTCGGGTTTCAGAGCCAAGTAGGTACCTAATCTCCATCTAGTGGCTCGTGCGCATACCAGCAGTAGCTTGTCTATTTGTATTAGCTCAGGCTTTTAAGTATTCTATAGAGTATTTATTAAGGTTTGTGTATAGTTCAAAATAGCTTTTAAAACTTGACAGTAACTGAAGCTTCTAAAACGTGTTATGTGAAGATATGTCAATTTAAGTTTCCTTTCACTCTTTGTCCAGGGAAGTGGGGATGTATGCCAAGATTGCATTCACCTGGTTACTGATGTTCAGGAAGCTGTGAGGACAAACTCATCTTTTGTAAAGTCTTTGGTTGCTCATGCCAAGGCGGAGTGTGACCGTTTGGGACCTGAAATATCTGATATGGTAAGCTATCTTTTTTTGTTTAAAAATCTGTTCCTGTATGCAAACATAATAGTTTGTTCAGTGCCTTAATGCTCTCAATGTAATCTCTAGTTAATAAAACAAAGGAGAGTGTGTCATGCGTAGGATATGTTACACAGTATAACAATAACAACACTGAAATCATAAACTTTCTGGTCAAGAAAGTTGGGTGGGGTGGTGTGTATGGGACTGGGGAGGAGGAAAAAGACTCAAGATTGCTGCTAGCCCTTAAAGGCCTTTTTCATAAAAATGATCTGGCAGGTTAATGTGTTCATATCATTGAGGGGGAGTGCTTTTGCCCTGAGAGGGAGAGAAAAGGACTTGTCAGATAAGCAGCTATGCGTGAATGATTGTGTAACCTGAAATGCTGTCTTATATTTGGGACAAGCTCTGAAAGACAACAGAATGGTTATTAAGTAGAGCAGGTAAATTAATACCTTGAGATGTATTAGAAAATTCTAGATTAATTCTACAGCTTAAATGGTTTGATATTTACAAGACCTTCTTTTCCCACTTCCTGCAGTGCAAGAACTATATCTCTGAATATTCTGACTTGGCTATCCAAATGATGATGCACATGGTAAGATCAGTAGAATATAATATTTGCTCTCAGTTCATTTTTCTGCTTTGTGCAGCTAACTTATTTGGAAACAGGAAACACTTACTTCAGTAAAAGTCTGGGGAGAGCCCTTGCTCTGTAAGTCTTGGTGTTAACGCTTTGAACTTGGCATTTAATTGGATAGTAACTTCAGTCTCAGAATGCTTTCTCTAGCACTTTCCTTTTCTTTCACAACCACTTCAGTGGTGCAAAGGGCACTCTAATCCTTTGAAACACAGAAGATGCATTACATAGGTTCCTTCATACTCTTTTATCTCAGTCCTGTTCTTAACACCGCTTCCCCCCTCCCCACCAAATACTGTTAAGCATATTAGAGTTGGTCTTTGTCACAGTATTGCAAAATTGGTTCAAGTGTTAGAGATAATGTGTCTATTTGAAGCAAGACTAAATGTCCTTCTTCTGGCATTGCTATCTCAAGACTCCTGCTCTCTGGGCTCTTGATAGGAGCCATGGAAAGTGAGTGGTACTGCAGCAGCTCTGGTCTTCTGCAGCAACATACAATATATTTTACCTCTGACCGCCTCCATAGCACCTCTTTATCCAGACATCTCAAAGCCTCTTAAAAAAAAAATGGGTAAGCCTTTCCTTAGAGAATGCAATACCTAGATGCCACAAGTAACATAACAAATTGTAGGTGAATTTGAGTAGAGTATGTGGCTGACTTGAACCTGAATTGGCAACACAGTAGCCTTTTTTGTTTCCAGTTGCTAAAGGCTACTTAGAAGCTCGTACTGCTTAAGCATTTGGTGGGGAAGCAAATCTTTGTTCCAACGACAGTTCGTTTCTCATTTTAAGCATTGCGATGCAGTGTGGTGTTAATACCTGAAATTGGAATATGACTACACCTTGCATCCGGTTGAGTGTTGTTCAGTCTCTTTGGAGGTAGTCTTGCCCAGGATACTTTAATAACTTCAAATGAATAATGTTGGTTAGCATTGTGCAATTAAATGTGAGTTGCTGTAGCAATGCTAAGGATCTTTGGGGTGGGGACCATGTCGTATTCCATCATCTTCATGGAAAGAGTATATGCAGTTCCAAGTGCTTGACATTTTTTTTTCTCTTAACTGTTATCTTTAATTTCTCCTTTCTTCCTCTGTCTCCAATCTCCCCTGTCAACAGAAGGATCAGGTAGGTGAGCAACTTGCCTGTGGTGATAGCCTGCTTGTAGTTCACTTTTTGCTCTTAAAGGGCTTGTAGTTCACTTCTTGCTCTATTAGCTGTGTACATGGTGTGATTGTACTCAGTGTTGACAGATACAAGGGATATTTATGTGATTAAAACAGAGAAAGACTATAGACTTCCTCTAGTGGATCAGTCCTACTTCCAGCTCCAGATACCAGTTTGTGCTACTAAGATTTCAGCTTGATTATGCTTTGGCCAGTAGAGCAGAAAACATGCTCACTTTTGTACAAGAAGGATAGATGTGGAAAAAGCATGCCGGTGGCTCCTGTCAGCTTCTGGTTTAAAGTCTGGGCTCAAAAGGGCTTGAGTGAAGCTGTCCCCAGGTGTTTTCTTGGTTAACCTTTAAATCTAGGACAATGGTATAGATGTTTGGAGTATATGAATTGAAAAGAAGATGTGGGAGGCCTTTAGGCTCCTGCTTCCTAGAGCTATTTGGGCTTTTAATTTAACCAGTCCTGGGAGACCTTGTGTCTGTCATCTCTCTGTGAGAGAACATGTTGTGTGTATGTGGGTGTTGCTGTAACATTAATATCTGGAAATGCTTCTTACAATGCGTGAACCAAAGGGCTTGACTTAAAGGTACTGCCTGGAGTAGTCTGAAGCAGCGCTGTATCTTTGAGATACTGCTTTTGCCTGTGCATGAGGTTTTGGCATGATGTATTAACTGTTGCATAAGCCTCTGCTTGATGCCCTGGTGACAGGGTGGGGTATGATCTTCTAGGACCAAAGGTAACTTTTTTTAGCTTAAGTCAACTTTGGGTGGGAAAATTCAAGTTTTGTGTATTACTCTGTATAGCCTTTCTCACTTTGCGTGACCTCCTTAGAGCAGTTTGCCTCATGTCTGGCATTTATTTTTGCATTTAGTAATGTATGTTTCTAAAACCTTTGAGAAAGACTTGGAAAGCCTTTTTAAAGGCTTTGTTTCCGTTTGCTGTTTTTCCTCTTACTGTAAAAAGAACACTTGAAATACAGTCACTGCAGATACGTGTAAAAAGGGTTAGGCTTAGGTTTTAACATGGTTAACTTTTGTTTCTTATAGGCTGTGTTCAGTAATGCGGGAATCTGTTTCTGTTTGCAAAATGGGATGTTACTGGATGCTTTAAAAAAGGTAGTTTGTGGATGAGAAAAGGAGTCCTTTCTTCTAGGCATTTCTTTCAGCTTTTGGGTGAACTTGGAAGTCAGGATAATTAGCCTCTTCTGTGATTACTTACAGCTTTCAGGGGAGCAGCTTTGCGGATGCAGGTCTAATGTGATGCTGGTGGCCTGTTTTGGTGTTGGTAGCTCTTAAGTCAACTCCTTTGAAGGGCTTGCATAGTGTACTAGCTCACGGTAAAGTGGGTTTTTTAATGGATGTGGTCTAACCTCTTACTCTTTTAAAGGAACTGCTAAATTTCATCTGGTAGTTGTCCTGCCTATAACCATATCAAATGCTTTGGCAATACTTGAAGTAGTCATGAAACTTCTAGTTGTGTTGGAGCCTTTTAAAACTTTGTTCTCTGTGCCTGCTCACAGGCTCCATAGAAAGGGCAGAGTCTCCTAGACTTTTAAAAATTGCTTATACATCTCTTTCCAGCAACCAAAGGACATTTGTGCCATGGTTGGGTTCTGTCCTTCCATGAAATCTGTTCCCCTTCAGACTCTGGTGCCAGCTCAGGTGGTTCATGAAGTGAAAATGGAAACTGTGGAGGTAAGATGGACCTTTTGTACTCGACAGCTTTGCCTTCCTTCTTGCTTTAGTGTAATGAACTGGGTGAAACAGAAAAATATGAGCTTTTATGCATAGAATAATCCAAGTCTTCCTGCATATAAATTCCTGGCCTCCTCTTATTTCTGATGCTCATCTGTGAAGTAGGAGAACTGACTGATCTGTTAAAATAGCAGAGCCTACGCTAAACTGAAGCTATAAGGTAATACTTCAGAATTGAAATGGGAACTCTTGTTCCAGCAGTAGAGTATAGCAGCCATTCTAAATGACGCCTCAAATGTTAGAGGGCAAATTGCTGAATTTGAGTTTTGCTCTACATTTGGAGTTATGCTTTGATCCCTTTTAAAAATGGGACAGCACTCTGCATGTGGAGATGAGTGATCAGAGTCAGAATGCTGAAGCTCCAAGTTTGGAGAAGCACCTTTAGCTTCCCATGGCCTTTGGGTGAGACATGGGCTGAGGGTTTTTTGGAAAGGAAAGTATCTTTTGAGGACAGTTAACTTCTGATTAACAGGCTCCAAACAATGTCCTTCAAGTCCCTCAATTTCTAGGTTTCTTTTGCAAACAGGAGGGTGCTCTCAATTCTAGTAAATTTTGTCCTCAATTAATGTATTTTAAAAAAACACTTCCTATTTCCCTTGACTCCAGTCACTGTGGGGCTGCTTATTTCTCTGTGTCTACTAAATTCAGCTCCCCTCCTTATACAACCTGGGGATTGTAGTCTTGAGCAGTCATTTTGTATGACTAATTATTCAGAAAGGCTTTTTACCGAGACCTTCGAGGTTGGTTTTGGGTTCTGCGTGACCTTTTGAATTCAACTCAAACTGGCCAGCTAGGTAAATGAATTAGTGTGCTGCACCTGAATGTGAATACTGTTAGACTGATCTTTTACAAATTGTCCCTGTCAAATGCTGTTAAGTGCTGACTTATTGTTTTGTATGTTTCTTCTGTGTACTCAGAAAGCCTCAGTTCAAGAGAAAACTTTTTCCTTGTGTGAAGTATGTGAGACCATGGTGAAAGAAGTGACTGGCCTCTTGGAGAGCAACAAGACAGAGGTGTGTAAGTGGTGGAAATGGTACCTCTTCCTAGGCTTTGGCTAAAATGGGGCTGTATTGGAGGGGGAAGAAAAGTTAATTTTATTGCCTGTTTTCATGAGATGTCTATCCTGGGTAGGATGGAATAAGAAAACACGTACTTATGAATTGAGTCAGATTTCTGTTCCTCATTTGCCACGCATCCTTCATTGTGCTTCAGGAGGAGATTGTACGTGAAATGGAGGTGATCTGCTACCTGTTCCCAGCAAGTGTCAAAGACCAGTGTAAGGACTTCATAGATGTCTATGGCCAGGCTTTGATTGACATGCTCTTGGAGGCAACGAATCCTGAAGCTGTGTGTGTTATGCTGAAATGCTGTGCAGCCAACAAGCCTCCACAGCAGCCAGGTTGGTAATGAGAAGTTGGTGGTGTTGCAAAATGAGCTAGTTCACCTATGATTATATCTCTCTTGAGGACACATGCTTTAGTACTTTGCTGATGCTGCCTCCTTTCTTCTATTTGGGGGAACTACCTAAGCACTGATGTGTTTTGGTTTTTGGTTTTTTTTTGGTGTTTTTTTTTTTTTTCCCCTTCTAGTTTTAGTGAAACCTGCAGGTGGCTTCTGTGATATCTGCAAGATGGTGGTAGCTTATGCAGACAAAGAACTAGAGAAGAATGCCACGACAGCTGAAATTGAAGCTTTACTGGAAAAAGTCTGTCACTTCCTGCCAGAGTCTGTCAGTGATCAGGTAAAGCGCTTTTGTAGGAGGCAGGCTAAAAAGCATTGGTCTTGTTGATGGTTGGGAACTGTCCTTGTTGATTTGTTGGGTTTACATAGGTCCTACAATGACAATTAGGCTCACCTCATTTTCCGAGTGTTTTCACCTGATATTCTGTCTACATGCTAATTTCAGGTCCGTCTCTCAAGTGTCTCTACTTGTGCTATAAATGTCCAGGTGCTCATAATAGAGGTCTCTGTGTTTGGCTGACTGCCTTGGTCTCTGGCTGGAGACAAACTGTCCACAGGTGCAGCTGGGGACTGGCTTGTGTTCAGCAACCTGATCCTTCTTACGTTTTTCCCTTCACTAGTTAGCACCAAAGCATAGCAGCTTCTCATGTGCAGTAGAGCAAAAAAGAGGGAGCAGGCTTGATCTGAGGCAGTCAAATGACCACACAGGCCTTGCTGTGTGGCAGCCTGCCTTCCAGTCAGAACAAGGCAGATAGAGGTGAACAGAAGGATGAAACATCTTGCACAGTATTTGGAAAAACTAGTGAGCAGGTTCTCATGGTGGTTTTTGTAAAAGTAATCAGTGTAATGCAGGTCAGAGTTGCAGGGCTCTCTCCCTCTGCTAGAGGCTGGAAGGAGTTTGGGGTGCAGAGGGATTAGGTTGTTGCACTTCCCATCCTTGGGGGTTGGCAGTCCTTTGAATAGATGGAGGCTTTTAAGGGCCTGAATTGACTGGCTGGATTGTTGTACTAATTTGCAGTCAGTAAAGGTTTGCCTGGAAATCCTCAGAGAACAGTGGGTGGGAACAGCTGAAGGTTTTTTTCCTCAACACTGATCCTGTTCAGGGGATTAATAAAGTAATTAGAAGTAGGCTGGCATAATTCCAGTGAGACAGCAAAAAGCAACACCTGTTAGGCCACTGCTATCAAGACTTACCTGGAAATCTTATTAGGTGGCTGCTGAGTGTCAGCAAGTCGCAACTGCTTTTACATTTAACTAGGCACGCAGTATACAGGCTTAAAGCAGCTATGAAACAGCTATTCCTGCTAACTGCTCTGAGGCTGTTGAATAGCTGTGGTTCACTTATTAATTGGTGCCGTTAGTCTCTGCTGAGAACACCAACATCTTTCTGTGCTTTGGAGATGGTCTGTCCACTAGAGGGCTGACTGTTATTGATGAGAAGCGTTTGTGCTGCTGCCTGGTCTGAAGTGAATAGTAACTACGTGGGCTAAAAGTGCTTAAGAGTCATTGCTGCCATCCTGTTCAGGATGTTTGCCTCTAGCTTGTTCAGTGTGCTTTCCTTTGAGACAGCAGTGATCTCCACAATTAGAGACTAAGCTTTGCAAATCAAAGCCTGTCCTGCTTGGTTCTTTTCCTTTTTACCCCTTTCTCATCATAACCTGTCTGCAGAGAGCTGCAGGCAGATAATGAGCTAACAAAAAATGATCTAGTTGTGTGATTAGTGCGATGCTGAGTCCTTTTTGATCTGCAGAGCTCAAGCCTCTGGTTTATCAGTTTGGAGTGTATTATTGGGGTGTTTGGAGTAGTGTACAGGCCTGCCTGCTGAAGGCTGTATCTTCTTTCTAAGGCTTTAACAGGACAATCTCTCAACCTGTGTTTTGTTACAGTGTGTTCAGTTTGTGGAACAGTATGAACCCGTGGTTGTGCAACTCTTGGCAGAGGTGATGGATCCCACTTTTGTTTGTACTGTGAGTATTGCGTTTAGCTCTATTGAGTATGGGCTCTGATACAGTCCTGCCTACTCTTCTGTACGCCTTTCAGTGCCTGGCATGAAGAAACTCTGCTGGAATAAAAATCAGCATACTGAATGCTTGGAGCAAATGCGGTTTTGCAAGGCCTTGGGCTTACTGAATGGACAGCTGTCTGGCTGCTAGCCTTGTGCAAGGAAGGATAGAAGAAAAGAGCTGCCAGTGGTTATCCACTGTTGAGGTTCAGTAGCAAGGTGTAGTGTGCCCTGAATGTGATGAGAGGAAGTTAAATGACATTTCTTGAGAAAGGTCCCTTTCTAGAAGCTCTGTTTCTTGAAACTTAATATGAAGAATCAGTTGCGGTAACTTAATTCTTCCTCGTGTCAGATTACTGCTTCATGTCTACTCGTTCCGCTGCAAGTGTGACTGCAATTGTCAGTTGAGCCATGGTACTGTGGGAGCTCCTGAAGCTACCTCAGTTTTGCTTCCCCACTCGGTCAGGTGGAAGCTCAGACGTAAGGCTGGAGTTGAGATCTCTTGGTGCATATAGAAAGATGCTGACTCTGCTGCTGTTCTTTTCACAGAAACTTGGAGTCTGTGGATCAGCTAAACGGCCTCTCGTGGGGGATGATGCTTGTGTCTGGGGTCCAGGTTACTGGTGTAAGAACATGGAGACTGCTGCTCAGTGCAATGTACGTAAAGCAGGATTCTGCATCAAGTTTCCTATTGGTCTTTGATAGCTCCTTATAAACTACTTTTCTGGCTTCTATACCACACTTTCAGGTGGATGAATTCCAGTTTCAGGAAGCAAAAGGGTACTGGCTAGATGTGGTTGAGTTTAATTAGAAGGTCTTCCATAGCCCTTAGCTTTCTTAAAGCAGACTGTTTCCTTTCCCTTTCATTCCTATCCCCTACCCATCTGCTAGCATTTCAGAATCTATAGTAAGGTACAGTGTGAGCTTTATATTTAGTCTGTGTTCGCACAGCCAACAGACCATGTCATGACCTCTCATCAGGCTCTAAAAATTGGCTTCCAGTATTGCTGTGGGCTGATGCTTTCTTTGCCAGGCCTTAGTGGCTAAGGGTCATCAGCATTCTTTCCCGAAGCTTCTGGGTGGGGACGAGGTTGTTATTTATTGTATCCTCTCTGGAATCACTTACTTTAATAAAAACAGAGTTGCTCCCAAGATCTTGGCTCATAATAAGGTGTTGAATTGTATGTGTAGATGCACACTTTTTTGCAAGCAAGGTTTTTTTCACTAACATACACTGTTTCTTTCCCTTTAGGCTGTTGATCACTGCAAACGTCATGTGTGGAACTAGAAGAAGAATTTCCAGTTCTGAAAGTTTGCCATGGCTCTTAAAAATGTGGGCCAAGGTTGGCGGAGAGCTGTATCTCAAATGTCCCTCCTCTCTGCCTCATTAACAATTTGACCTTCTGGTTCCTTTATTGTAACTCTTCTGTAGCAGCGCTGCTGTTGAAGGATCAGATCTTCATTGTTGACTTAACAAAGATATTTCTGATTGTACAGTTCAACTCATTATGCTCCTAAAAATAGTCAGTGTGTTGTAGATTTTTAATTGGTAGGCTGAAGTGTTTTTTTAGGTGCTGGGAAGAATGACAGAGAAGGTGAAATGAGACAAGACTATTATCTTTTGATTTAAAAAAAGAACAAGATAGCAACTAAACTTTCAAATGTCTTTCTGTAGTCAGCATTGGGAAGGTTACACGCTTTGCATTTTTAACATCTGGCTGGAATATTAATTTTCTGTGTAACCGCAGGAGAACTCTAAGGGATAATGTTGAATCTGGGAATCCCTTCGGCTGGAATTTTCAAAGCTCTACAGATGCAAAGGAGGGGGACTTTGTGTGCCCAGCTAACTTTCAAAGTAACTGGTACCTAAAAAGATGCATTTGCATTTGAGTGACCACGCTTTTGCATTTGAGTGACCACACTTACGGCTCCTGGTGTTATCATAGCTAAGGAAACCTTCCCTCAGCCTTTGATCATGTCCCTTTTATTTCCTTGGATTACTCGGTCTAAGCATGGGTGTTCTACTGTCAAGCCCTGTACAGAGGGATTTCAGTCTTTTGAAGCATGCTGACGTACTTAAGGAATGGCTCCCTTTTTTCTTATCCTAGTTGCTCAATTCTGCTTAGTCTTGCAGCTTCCTACATGTAGCCAGCCGGGTGCCAAGTAGGTGGAGCGAGCTGGGTTGGTAGAAGATGGAGGGGGAAAAAGTCAGCAGGCTGTGCATATGTCAAAGTGAGTTCAGCATAGAGGGCAGAACGCATGGGAAAATGGTTTTTATTGTAAACTGCCAGTTTGTTCCTTGATCTGTTTTTCTCTCGTAGCATATTTCAGTCATCTAAAACTTCAGAGACGTTATGAGGCTTGTGGGCAGTTTCCGTTGCTGCCACCTGTTCTCACTGACACTCATCCTTCTGAGTAGTTTGCAGTATAAATTTTTTCCAGAGTTCCCATTTCTGTTGGGAAATGCATCTGAGTAGCAAGCGGAGATGGCAGATGGTAAGAGCACTGTAGCAGGTATTTGGCAGCTCTGCTGGCATACCTGACAACCTGCCTTTCACGCCTCTGCAGCATCCCACTGAAATGGCCTGAACTTCTGAACAAAAGCCTTTCAAGGCAGGCTGCTACCCTGGAAACAAGTCAGGCCCTTGAGGTGTAGGGGCCTCGAGAATGAGAATTATGCTTGTGTTGTTTGAGACGGACCTTGCATCCCCTACCAGCATTTAGTGCGTAGTTCTGATCAAGTTAACCCCCAAAATAGAGGCAGCAGAGTAGCTCTGAGGAGACCTTTGGGAAAGAGGAGCTGGGCAGAGGTGGAGCTTTGAAAATTCCAGTCCTGTTCAGAAAGGTGCCGGCAACTGCTACTGTTCCTGTGGTGTCTTGGGTGAGGCGGGAGCTCCAGTAACAGTGCTTTAGCAGCAAGCAAAGTAATTTTCATGCAGTTTAATGGAAAACCACTTGACTGCAGCTTTTTTGTTACTACGTGTACATACTAAATATCTAGGCGGTGTTGACGGATAGCAATACTGGTTTGTCTTTCCTGTTTGCATTTGTACAGAACACTGAAGCACTCATGGCTTTTAAAAAAAAAAGAAAAATAATTTTCCCTAAAGATGGAAAATACCTGCAGCTTTCTGACTTGGCAGGCTTGTGCAGTGGTTCCAGTGGTGTATCGCAGTTGGGGTAGATACGCCAGATAGGAAATGGGCTCTCTTCAGCATCGCTGCCCTGGAGGTACGGCTTGTGTTACACCACGGCGTGTAGTATGGTATTTGATCTTTTAAACTGGATGGCGTTCTCTTAACGTGAATTTTTTTGGGGGGAGGTAGGGATGGATTGACACTTGCTCTTGCAGGTTGGCAAGGTTTTAATTTTCTTGGGTTTTTAGTAGTAAAGGATTCATGCTAGCGACCTGTTGGGCAGAGTGAACTGGGGGAAATCCTGTGCTAGTGCTGGGAGTCTCTTTAGTTTTCTCCCTTCCTGTGGACCGTGGCACCTGACCCGCTTGAGTTATGCTGGGAGGACATGTGCAGTTGCTTTCTAAAGAACATTGTCTTGATTTTTGCACAAAAGCTTCCTTAATGAACAATAAAAACTTCTATAAACCGGTAAGTTTGTGTGTTTTATTTCCTTGTTGTGTGCTAGTTGCTGAAGGATCTTGTTAGCTTCCCCTTTGCTGCAGAGCCAGGAGAAGGCACGTCCCAAGATGTCACTGGGAATCTGGGGCTGAATGGCAGGATTCAGGTTCCCGTTGAGTTGCTATCGCCTTGCAACATGCGTGTCCCATCAAGCCTTTGTTATACTGAGCGCAGTTGTAGGTAAAAGAGGCTGGCCGGGGATTGCCACCGCCGTTCTCTTCCCTGGATGAAAGCAATGCCTGATGTGAGGCAACAGCCCTGTGTTGCAATTTCTCTGCCTTGCGCAGGCTGGAGGGAGTTCTTGCTGAAGCTGCTTGGTATCAGGCTTCAGTGCTGACTTGCATTTAATGTGGCTTTCCTTTTGTCTTCATTCCTCGCTTTATTTTGAATAAAATAATTATTTTTTAAAAATGTTTTAAGCAAACTACTTGGCTGCCTCTAAATACACCATTAATTCACTTGTTCTAAATTTACTGGTCTTTGATATCTGCACTGCTGACTCTTTTTGTAAGGGATGATGCTCTATTCAGTGAAGAGCACAGAAAATTGCTATATCACATGGCACTAGGACAGTTTTTGCCCTGCTGTGCCCACCCTTTGCAGCCAGGAGTGGTGAGGTTAGCATTGAGCAGCAGGTTCTGGGCTGGTTTTGACTTCCCGGGAATACCTGCCTGGCTCTAGTCCCTCCCTCCACTTGCAGGCTGGTGATTCTATAATCAAGGTGTAAGGAGAGGGGTGTGGTAATTGCCCTGCGTAGGTGTGGGTTCTCGCTACTTCTCCCAACCCATCCAAGATTCCTCAGTCTGGGAGCAGCACAGGAGAGGAACCAGCCACTGAGGACTATCTTAGGAACGGCATGGAGAGCAAATGGAGTGGCTGGGTGCTGATCCTTTCTGTGTGCCTGGGCTCCTACCAAGGTAAGGCCAGGCCTGGGGGTAGGACTCGAGGAGAGCCCAGAAAACCCCTCTGAACCCCAAAACTATTCCCAGCTATAGTGTTTAAGCTCCATAGTGTGCTTCCTCGTCCCTCCAGAGGAGAGCTGGGGCAGGCAGCACCACCGGCGGCTTTACCTCTTCCCCACCTGGAAGTGAGTGTTGCAACTTCTGCTCTTAAAGATGATCTTGGGGCAAAAAGCGGTTTGCTCCCTCCCTTCTCCGGACAGCAGGGATTCGGATGGAGCTGGTGTTTTGCTGGGGTATGGAAGGAGGGAGGCCAGTCGATGGGGCATCAGCAGTGATGGGGTAGAGGGCTGCTTTGTCTGCTGCCCTTGGCATTGGGACCCGGCTGCGTATGTTCCGTTCAGGGGAAACCGCTTTGTTGTCCTTGCACGACAGAGTGGCCATGGTGCTGCCCGATGCTGCCCCTTTCCTTACGGGCCTCGTAGGTGGTGCAGGAGGCAGGAAACATCTTCCCCCGTGGCTTGCGGAGCTCTGGGTAGGGTGATGGGGTGCAGTGCTGCAGCCCTGAGCACCTTTGGAGACCTCTCATCACCAGGGCTTTGGGTATCTGTGAGCAAATCCTACCTGTGGATGAGCTTATGCTGCTGTCCCATAGGTATCCCCCCCCCAGATAAGAGTGAGAAAGTGATACCTGGCTCCTCCCCTGCCCATCCCCAGGAAACAAGTTGGGAAGAGCCTGTTTCCGACCCCTGGTCCTTGCTTGAGGGGAAATCGCTTATTCCAGGGGAAATTTCCCTGGGGAAACCACGGATCCCTGCTGTTGTAGGCAAAAAAAAAAAACCCTTTTAGAGGGAAGAACCCCTTTTGCACCCTAATTACCCCAGGCTCGGCCCATCGGGCTCCTCTGACATGACCTGCCCAGGCACCGGCTTTGTGGTGGAGTCATCGTGACTGCACACGTGTGGCCTGATGGGGGGGGACATGCCGAGGTGCTCCAGCCAGCAACAGGCAGAGCAGGAAAGTTCACCCGCGCTCAGCACGTCCGTCCTTTGGGCGACGCCTGCCCTGGAAGCCGATGGCGGCTCTTGCAGTGGCAGCTTGTCTGCATGGCACAGTGCGGCTGGTAGGGCTGTGGGACCGTGGGCCACTGCAAGCCTTGGAGATGGATTTTGATGCTGGGGAATCACAACCTGGGCTTGGCTGGCTCAGCCGGCAGCCGGCACAGGGCTCCACGTAATGCTGGCACAGCCCTGCTGGATCTGATCTGCGGTGCTGGATCCCCCCAGGCAAAACCCACCCCACCCCACTTGTCTGCATGGCACAGTGCGGCTGGTAGGGCTGTGGGACCGTGGGCCACTGCAAGCCTTGGAGATGGATTTTGATGCTGGGGAAGAGTGTATTTACGATTTTTGCTGTGACAGGGGCGTGTGCCCAGCCGGGAACTGGGGCACCGGGGCCTACGCCGCCACCCCCAGGGTTTACGTCACAACCTGCTCGCCAGGCTTGGCTGGCTCAGCCGGCACGCTCCAGGGCTCCACGTAATGCTGGCACAGCCCTGCTGGATCTGGAGCTCGGTGCTGGATCCCCCCAGGCAAAACCCACCCCACCCCAGGGGCCTGGCAGCTGGGGATGGGGCAGCACCGGCTGGCCCGGGGCCACTGCGGCACTGCGGGAGCATCCCTGCCTCGCCCCCAGCTCCATGCCGGGGCTTTGCTGAAAATGGCATCGTCCCATGTCCTGCTGCTTGGGTGCCTGTCAGCACAAGGCAGCTCCAGCACGGCTTTGAAATGTGGAGGAGAGCTCACGGGGCACCAGCTGCTCTGGTTGCTTGCCCCGTGGTGATGCTTTCCACCCAGGGAAGCTCCCTCTGCTCTCAGCAGATGGGTGTTATTATTGTTGTTAATTATTTTTCTGGCCCAGCACTTGTTGCCCAAGTTTCAGCTTGAGCAGAGCAAGGAGTAAGCGCTGAGCTGAGAGCCACTGTGAGCCAGAAAGGTGCAGGTCCAAACCACGGGTTTCCTTTAGACCAGTGAAATTCCCCCTGTGCCGTTGCCGGCAGCATCCTTAGGCAGCTGGTCCGGTCTCCAGCATGGGGCTGCAAGAGATGCTCGTGTCTGTGGGTCAGGCAGGACCAGCTCAGAAACAAGCTGTGGGTTGTTGCCTCCCCTCTCCTCTTTTTTTGGTGCTGCCCCTGAACTCATCTGCTGACTTGCCATTCCTGTTCGCCCTGATGCTAGTGCCAGGGTTAAAAAAAAAAAAAAGTATATATCTCTCAGCTGATGTGGCGACCGCGGCATCCTGCTGCTGGAGAGGTGTGTGGGCAGCCGTGCATGGGAAACTGGGGGGGACTCGCCCTGCCCCGGGGCTTGCTCCTGCCCCGGTGCTGCCGTCAGCCCGATGGGGTAATCGAGGCTGAAATGCCACCCGGCACCCACTGAGCTGCACCAGCGCTTTTGGGAGCAGGCGGGGCTGGTGGGGGGCTTGGGAGCCCTCTCCCTGCAGCCTCCACTCCCGGTGACTTGCTGGGATGGCCCTGGACATCTCAAGCTGCTGCCCCAACACGTCCTGTGGATGAGCTGAAGGTGTTGGCAGAATCTGGCATGCAGGAAAAGCAGCTTTTGGGGAGAAACCTGATAAGGGCAGGGTGGGTGGAAGGAGCAGTTTGTGCCTTTGGCTTTACTCCTGCTGTGCAAAACCATAGGGCCAGAGCCGGGTGGTAAAAGCTGGCTGTGAATGCTCTGGGGGGTGTGTGCTTTGCTTAGAAACGCCAACTGCAAGAGGGTATGCAGCAGGGTCTGGCCATCCATCTATCCATGTGCTGCTCTCCCCATGTGCTCCCCGACTTCCTGGAGCAGCTCCTGACCAAAGCAGGGCAGTGAAGGGCTTGGGTTGTGCCGGCTCCTCGCCACCTCCCCAGCCGCATCCTGGGTGGGTGCAGCCCCCGGTGAGAACAAACACTTGCCCCATCGCAAATTAATCCTGACACACCAAGGTGGCAATTAAACTGTCGGCGTTGCGCCATGCCACTGTGCTTCCCTGTGTGGCCGGGGCAGGCGATGCCGCTGCTGCCATGCCAGGGAATTGCAGCCAGGAGAAAATGCTGTCGTTAGGAAGAAATGAAAAAAACCCACCCAAAACTGGGGTTGCTCAATCATTGCCGGGAGCCGCGGTGTGGCTAACCAGCTGCTGCACGGGACTGAGCCCTGGCAACCCCGGTTTGCTCATTCTACAAGATTTATTGCTGTTTTTATGAGCAGCTGCCTCCCCAGCATGTCGAAGGGTGCTGTGAGGCTGAGGATGATTCCCCAAATTCGCTTTGCTTTTGACGCTGGCCCAAAGCTGCTGCGACATCCCATTGGAAAAGCTGGCAGCATGCAGTGGCTGGGCTCAAAAAAATAATTTATAAAACCCAACAACCCCACCACCATTGCAAAAGCTGAGGGTGAATCATGGCAAGAGGGTGAAGAGCATTGCCCTTGGCTCACGGGGCAGGGTTGGAGTCGGGGTGCTGGGTTGGTGTGGTGCAGGAGTTGGTCTCGGGGTGCCCTGGGGGCTGATGGTCTCCTCTCCCCACCCTGCAGCCGTGGCCAGCCCCCTCCACGAGTGTGGCGAGCGGCCAGAGGACTGGTGCCGTGACGTGGCGACGGCGGCCAAATGCGGGGCACTGGAGCTCTGCCGGATCACCGTCTGGGACCAGGCCCTGGGGGTAACTGCACTGGGAGCAGGGGGATGTGGGATGATGGAGGGATGCACCCATACTGCCCGAAAATGTGGGGCTGGAGGGAGAATCCCAGCCTGGCCACCCTGAAGCTGGGCACCCAGAGGAGCATCCGCTGATGCTCTCAAGCAGCAACATGTCAGCCAGCAAGGCTGCCTAACTGCGGGGGGGACTCACGTAGGATGGGGAGTCTGCAGGGTGAGTGGCAAAAATGAGTGGGTACCCCAGGATATTCCCAAGTGCCCCTTGGTGGGGTGTTTTTGTGGTGGAGGGGTGGGATTTGGGGGAGCAAGCGGGGGGTCCAGGTGCCATGGCAGCATCCCGACATGTCCCCTCTCTCAGCAGAAGGGGATCCCATGTCACCTGTGCCAGGTGGCGGTCTCCGTGGTGGGTAAGATCCTGCAGGACAACCGCACTGAGGTGGGTCATGGCCGGGGGGGGATGCGGGGCTGGCGTGCCCCCCCCCAACACCACAGGGCCAGCCCAGCCCTGAGCTCTCTCCTTGTCACCTAGGAAAAGCTGCGGCATTTCTTGGATAAGAAATGCCAGTACCTGCCCTTCCAGGACTGGTCCGTCAAGTGCAAGAGGATGGTGGACACCGGCATCCTCATCCTCGTCCAGCTGGGCAAGCAAGTGCTGGTAACTGGCAGGGGGACCCCCTTGGGTTTGTGTTTCTCCATGGTTTGGGATGTCTTGGGGGCTCGCAGGGCAAGGGAGGCTCTTGGAGCCTGGGACAAAACCTTTGCGAGATGGAGATGGGGATGGAAATGACCCAGGGATGGGGGGAGAGCAGGGCGATGGGGCAGACGCAGCCCCAAGCCCCCACCCCTCTACTCCTCCAGGCGGATCCGAAGGTGGTGTGTGGGACCATCAAGCTGTGCCAGCCCCAAGAGAGCCCCACCGGGGCCCTGAAGTTCCAGGAGCCGCCACCGGCCCCCGTGGGCCCTGCTCAGGACTTCGCTGACCTGGTCGCCCCCTTCATCACCAACGTGCCCCTCCTGCTTCATCCCCAGGACCTGCCTCACAGCGAGGCCCAGGTACCATGGCACAGGCATGAATGCCATTGATGCTGCTCAAGGGCAAGAATCACCTAAGCATCACCTATTTAACAATAATTAAAAAAGAAAATTAAAAAATATTGCACGGATGAAATTAGGCGTGTCACCAATTTGGGGCTGGGATATTGCAGGATCCAGGGGGGGACCAGAGAGGTGCCAGCCAAAAAGCTGCCCTGGATTATGACCAGCATTTAAATCCCAGCCCTGCAAATCCATGCGTGGGGGGGCTCAGTTTTATTTGGGGGGGGGGTACCGATGTGTCCCTGCCCATGTTGTCCCGCAGGAGATGGAAGAGGTGTGCGGCGCCTGCCTGCAGCTGGTGGCGGCCGTGCAGCTGGAGGTGGGGACCGATGCCACCTTCGCCCAGGTGCTGGTGGCCCACGCCAAGCGGGCATGCGATGGCCTGGCACCCGACTTGGCACAGTGGGTAAGGGTGCTGGCATCCTGCTGGGCTCCCCCCTCCTCCCCAATGTTACCGTGGCATGGGAGCATCTTTTGCAGCCGCCCGGGAGGCTGGGGGGTGCGGGCAGGGTGGTGGGGTGTCCCCCCTCAGGCGCTGACGATGTGTCTCCCCGCACAGTGCAAGCGCTACCTGGCTGAGTACGTGGACATGGCCGCACAGCTGCTCCAGCACTTGGTAAGCGGGTGAGCAGTTCCCCGGGGCTGCCTGGGGCCGGTGGGCACCGGCAGGGTGGCCAAGCGGCACAGACAAGGGGATCTTGTTGGCAGAAGTGGGGCCCTGCTCTCGTTTTTTTAATTAATCCTGCTGCTTTATATTCCTATAAACTTTTAAATATTTTTTCCCCTCTCTCTGGCTTGTAACTGTTGTAATTCTTTTTTATTTATATTTTTTTCTTGCCATTTTCCGGTCCCTCCACTGGCAGCAGGCTGAGGTAAGCAAGATCCATGCCCCAAGGGGCTGAAATCGCCCTCCATGGGGAAGGGAGGGGTGCAGGCTCACCCTCCCGGGGGCTGATGCCCACCTGATTCAGGACGTCTCTCTCCCCAGCACCCGATGGAGCTGTGTGGCCAGGTGGGACTCTGCTCCTCTGCCTCTGCACTGCCCCTCCACACGCTGCTCACAGAGAAGGTGACGCAGGTCCTGAGCATGCTGGGGGTAAGTGGGGACCCCCCACCCCGCCGCGCTCCTTAAAATCCAAATGGTGGGAAGGGGGAGCCGTATTTTGCTTTTTTTCCCCTCAAGCATCTCCATTTTTCCAAGGTGGGGAATGTCTTTCCTGGGTGTTGATGGCTGGGCGGCATGGGGGCGGCTCTGGGGGGGCTCGGCACACGTCCCACCACCTTGTCCTGGCAGGATGGGGAGGGGACCACGCCGCTGTGCGAGATGTGCCAGTTCGCTGTGAAGGCGGCCGAGAGCCTCCTGGAGAACAACGTGACGGAGGTGAGCCCCACTGCTATGGTCTGGGGATGGGGGCGCTGAGAGAGGGGGCAAGGGGACAGCAAGGAGAGGGGCGTCTCCCTCCACCTGCCTTCTCCCGGCAGGAGCAACTGGTGAACGACATTGAGAAGGTGTGCTACATGCTGCCCCATGGCGTCATCGGGCAGTGCAAGGACTTTGTTGACTCCTACGGCAAAGCCGTGGTCATCATGTTGCTGGAGGCCACTGACCCAGCAGCTGTCTGCACCATGCTGCACTGCTGCCCCCGGAGCGGGGACACCCACCGAGGTGAGCTGGGCGTACCCGGGTGGCATCCAGACATCAGGTTGCCAGGGAGTGAGGTGATGGGGGGTGCTAACCCCTCCCCCCCCCCCCCCCCCCCCCCCCCGCGCCCTACGCCCTGCGCCCCCCCCCCCCCCCCCCCCCCATCCTGCAGGGGCTGCTGTGCTGGAGCAGCTGGTGGTGGGCACAGGTGCCTTCTGCAACGTCTGCCAGATTGTCATCACCTACTTTGATAACGAGCTGCTGAAGAACGAGACGCTGGCAGAGCTGGGCGATGTGCTGGAGAAGGGCTGCGAGCTGCTGCCTACGCCGCTCACCGGCAAGGTGAACCAGGGGGGGAGTGCCCAGCCTGGCAGGAACCCCTCCGACCCCCCTGTGCCGGGCTCACCCCCTCTCTCCTTCCCAGTGTGAGGCACTCGTGGTGCAGTACGAGCCGGCGGCCGTGCGGCTCCTCGTGCAGATGATGGATCCCACCTTCGTCTGCACCGTAAGTGTCCCTGTGCCATGGGTGCTGCACCCGCTCCCTGGGGCAGCCTGGACTGATATGGGCATCTTTTGGCCAAGCCTGGGGGGGGCTGGCAGAGGGGCAGTGGGGTCAAAGGGTGCTCATGGGTTTTTTTCTCCCCCCTCCCACCTTTTTCCTTTGCAATGCAGAAAATAAGAGCCTGCGATTCATCCGAGGAGGATCTCCTGGGCTCAGACCCCTGCGCCTGGGGACCGCACTACTGGTGCAAGAACATGGCCACGGCTGTCGAGTGCCATGTAAGTGTCGGCCACGTCCCCTCCGCTGGGTCGGCAGGGGGCTGGGGATCCCTGCCACCCCTC